GCATAAGCAATTGACAATAATTTTCCCTTATCTTTGAGCCATTAAAAGTTGTACTCATCACATATAAGATATGAGTTGTGACTGTATACTGAATTTCACTGAAGTGATGATTTCTTGATTTTGTTTTAATGTTTTTGTTTAGTTTCCTTCAGTACTTTTGGAGCTATATGAAAGGTGTTAACCATTTAACTTAAGTTATGAGTATATGAAAAATTCCATGAAAGATTCTAGAATAATGTCAGCTTTTTCTACAATACATCCTATTTGCTTTATCTAATTGCTTCAAGTCTGATTATGAATCAATAGCTGCTAAATTTTACTTGTTTTGATCATTTTCACTCTGGTAATGGATTAATGGAAAAACTACATCTAAATTTTATATTTTGGCTCATATGTTTCTATTGTGACTTTTTCCTTCATATTTTATAAATAAATTTATTTGTTTAACCAAATGTAGACAAAGAGGTAACTTGGTCCTCGAAAAATTATGAATGAGAGCTTTTGAGACTATCAGCTACAACAAAGGTTGTGAGAACAAGTCTTGACCTTCAACAAGTCGGAGATCTTATATATATGTGCAGAATATGTATGTCTTGAGCTAAGCTTGTGAGTTCTGAAGGTTCTTTACCATTGAGGGTTGAATTAGTGCATTGTCGATGTTGACAATTTAACTTTGATTTTACATTATCAATCGAATACACCTTTCCAAGCAGGACATCGAATGCAATTTTTATTGACTCTTTACTCTATACACTCTACTATGGAATCTGTCGTTAACCATTTTACATATCCTTTTGTTTTTTCATGTGTTGTCTTCCGTTATTGTTTTGTTCTTTACTATACGATTATTTATGATCAAAGGGCTATGCAAATCATCAAAAATTGACCATGGCTAAAAAAAAATATTGGGTCCGTGTCGAGTACGGATCATGCCCATCTAGTATAGAAATATTACTTAGAGAAGAATCTTGTGAATATAGACTATAGAGTTCTGTAGCAATAGGCTGGGCCAATTAGATTATAGACTTTTTTTCAAAAAAAAACTTCTAGTTGTTTCAACAGTAAGATACTCCACATGTTCCCAAAAATTAACGTGGTGCTTGAGAGTCTCTTTATGGATTTTCACATAAAATAATGACTTGGAATACCTATAAAGTCTCTAACCCTAGATGTGTCGATAAGAGAAGCTTGTTGTTGTTTCTTTAAAATATAAATATTATAAATAAATACATGTAAATAAGAGATTGAGCTAATTTGCAAAACTAAATTTATCGGACCAATAAGAATGTTCTGCATAACTACAATTAATTATTTAGTAGTATATATTTTTTACATTATAAGTTCAATTTGAGTACCGACGTCTGACTATATTAGGAATATATATATATACACACTCAATTCATGACGGAATCATGATTTGCACTAAGAGGTTCTAAGATATGAAGAAATAAACACATGAAAAAGTATATGAGGGTTCAACATCTATTCCCTCCGTTCCATTTTATATGTCACATTTTTACTTTGCACTTGCATTAAGAAATGATGTAACTTTACTCTTCTACCCTTATTTAATGTTTTCTTAAGTCATCTTTATTAATAAATGACGAGATTAATTAACTATTCTATCAAGGGTATAATAGGCAAAATGTGTTTTACTTGTTTTTTGTATTTTCCAAATAAATTACACAAGCAATTTTGTAGTAAACAATACACATTTTAAAACATAAAATTTTCTATAGAAGTAAATTTAATTTTTTTAAAGTTCATATATATACATTCAATATGAATAAAAATTGTCTACAAATACTTTGATTTATTTAGTCAAAAAGTCTTTTGTATGACGAATTAAAGAATAGTATAGTTTGAGTAGTGAAAATGTAAAAATGTGTGTTTGACATTGGCATAAATAAATCAAAACAAAAGGGGATAAAATCATGAAATCTTTTTATTAATTATAATTTATTTTGTAAATAAAGTGAGCGTCAAATTAATCGCAAATCTTGTAATAAAATAATATTGTCATTTTATCCTCATTTATGGGCTGACCGCTAGAAAATAATTTACTATTAGTGTACAAAACTTAAACTCAATAGCAAGAAAATATGAATAAGAAATCCTATAGCCATAGTACCACAAACAAATAAATAATGCAATTAACATGATCAAGTACACTATGGATTTCATAAATTTGATGGAAAATAATATTACTCCATTAAAAGCAGAATCTGCAGTAAACATTCATCATGTGGGGATACAGTAGTTTTTTTAATTAGTAAAATTATAAAAAGTTTAATTAATTAAGGGTTGTGCCGACAATAACCTAAATCTTATGAGGTAATCAAACACTAGGGCTTCGTATTAGTAAATCATTCCTTCCATTTCTGCTCTTTAATTTGATTAATTAATAGCACATGTAAACGTGCATTAACGTCGTCCATTCATTTCAATCTTTAGTGTTAATACTTTTAATTATTTTAAACCAGTTTAATTAAGGAAATTAAAAATTATTTAGCAAGTTTAAAACCCCTAATCTTGTCAACTTTGACCAAAGATTCAAGATTTGAATTTAATTTTTTTATTTAGTTACAAGTACATTGTACTCAAAATCGTGACAAAAAATCTAAACATTTGTTTAAAAAAAAATTATTTTTATTTACTTAATTATATATTCAACACTATTCATATATATCACACTACTCCATGCACATGCATATGTTGACAAGTACATATACATTATTATGGGCGAAATTCACCTTATCCAATACAGAATACATGTGTATCTACTGTTTTCAACTTAAATATATATACAGTTAAAAATTCAAAATATATATATATAAAAATGTGCACGCACTCTAAATTAACATCCACTAACTTAAATTCCTAAATCCGCCCATACATCAACAAAAAATCCACAACAAATTTTATAAGATATGGTGGATGAACAAGTGAAATTGGTACCAATAGCCAATGTAGGAAGGATTATGAAACAAATCTTGCCACCAACAGCCAAAATATCCAAAGAAGCAAAAGAGACAATGCAAGAATGTGCATCAGAATTTATAAGTTTTGTAACAGGTGAAGCATCTGACAAGTGTCAAAAGGAGAATCGTCGAACGGTTAATGGAGATGACATCTGTTGGGCTCTGAGTTCACTTGGTTTTGACAACTATGCAGAGGTTATGTTGAGGTACTTGTATAAGTTGAGGGACTTTGAAAGAGTCAGAGCTAATCAAAATAAATTAGGTTTAAATGAAGATGATGAAGATAATAGAGATGATGAAGAAGCTCCAAGTGCACCATTAGAGTTTAATATAATGGAAAGGGTGCAACGTAGACGCTTCAATTAATAAATATTTGGATCATTTTTCAATTTGTATGTGTCATACTAATTAATCTTCTCTGGAGTTTTTGTCAGGTGTTGCTATTTCTCTGTTGTTGTTTTTTGTTTTTTATTTTATTTTATTTTCATTCATGTATATGTATATCAATCTTTAGTTCTAATGATTGATCACAGTTATTTAAGACATTTTTTTCCGTTTAATATTTGCAAATGTTCTAATTAAACCTTCTTTTAAATCTAGCAAGCATTAATTTGCTCTGCAGTTTTAAAGTGTGATATATAGCAATTCTTATAATGACCATATAATGTAGAAATTACATACATGATTAATATATTCCGATCCTAATACATATATAGAATGATAGAAAACATTCCACAAGGATATTGTAAATTTTCTTTCGTGTGATTCTAGTTTCGAGATCTACCTCATTATAATTCCGATCCCTTTTAACATCGTCATGATGATATGATTTTACAATTTATACTATATACCTTCTCAAGCGACCTTCTAGCATTTTTTGTGATAGATCAATGTGGGCTGCTTAGCTTGCTTTGCACTTTCTAAATGTGGCAGTTTTAATCTTTCCATATTAATTAGCATTTGACTCTCTATACAGACTTTAAATATTCACTCCAAATAAAATTGGCTTAATCAGGATACTTTTTCACCACTCATCGAACATTACCACATGATCTTAGTATACCATTAAATAGTTATTCTACTCTCCACCAACATGGATTGTGGTTCACTGGTGGGAGTATCTCACCCTTAACCAAAGGTCTCGGGTTCGAGTCCGAGGTATGGTGAAAATCTTGTTGGGAGTGTCACCCCCGAATGGGCCTTGCAGTGCACGATCCAAATTTAGTCGGAGCTCCAACATGGGCTCCGGACACCGGACGGGAAACAAAAAAAAAAGTTATTCTACTCTCTGAATTTAGTCGAAGCTCCAATGTGAGCTTCGGACACCGGATGGAAAACAAAATAAAATTATTCTACTCTTCGAGACACTTTAAACTTTTAATTGTGAGGAAATATGCCATCTAATCATCATATTTTTGGTAGCAATCTTTACTTAAACATATTAATGGTTTTCAAAACTTCTGATTAACCAGACAAATTTTTGGAATTAGGGTTTAAGCAGGCAACCTAGGGTTTGTGTAATTAAGGGAATGGGGGGACCACTCTTCCTGGAAGAGGGATCCTAGCTAGTGGGGAGCTGAATCAACTGTTCATCCCGTTTCACTAAAAAGTTGTGATTACATATATTATATAATAATATTATTATAGAATTATGCAAACCCTAGTTTGATTTTTAAATGATTTGCACCATATATGTAAATGACATCATTCATGAAGTGTAATGCCATAGGTTTGCTATCAAACTTAATTCATACTTGTTGAGACATAATATAATTAAGAGCATATTGTTCATACGGTTAAAAATCTCAAATGCACCTGTTTCTCGGCATGTAATGATGGAAGATTAATAGTGTTTTGGCATTAGTGAAGTAATTATGTAGATAAGTGGAGAATTGTATATTAATTAATTAGCTGATGGAAACTAGAGTTGCACGGCATAGTTATTAACTGTAAATATAAAATCTGTGTACTGCTGTTAATTTATAAACACTTGAATTGTATACTTTATCCAAATAGTAATTGAAAAAAAATTAGAATTAGTAAATATAAGACCAAAAATGTAATATAAAACAGACACATTTGTCCAGTCATACGTACACATCTTTAACAATGCGATCTTCTCGGGGGACAGATGTTGCCTTTTGGCTACAGGTTCATCTGAATCATAACTTTCGATATGGAGTAAAGATATATCTACTAAAATCTCAACAAATATAAGATCAAAACCCGTAATTTTAACAATACAATGAGTTCAATGCGGAGAATCATAAACGTTGATCCCATTTCCGCGTCTTCTTCTTCTCTCAAACCTGATGCAAATGTAGTAGACCGTGTTTTCCAGTCTGACTTGAATTTTTGCTCTATATTAGGAAACTGTGATGAGGAACTATTTCCACCGGCCAAATAACATATGCTTGAAGCTACAAACTTGAGTTAAGAGCAGCTTAAGAGATGTCTGTAACCTCATTTGAGCTATCTTTGGATCTATGCTTCCTTTTTTTACTCCTGCAAATACAAACCAGCATTATTTTCTGGCTGGGCGAATGAATTATGGCGAAACCAAAAGATTTTAAAAATGACAATCAAATTAGAGTTGATTGAACACACTTGTCATGTGAACCCGGATCAAGACAGGATTTGAGTTTCCGATCAATGTGCTTCACATCTTTGGAAGTCGGAGTCAAAAGTTTACCAATCTGTTCAAATGCCAGGAGTTCAGGCAGTAAGAGGACTATGTTAAACCCAAACGAAGATTTCGGGAAGAAGTCAGTAATATTTCAAGAAAGAAGAAGAGAAAGATAAACACTTCCAGGCATGCAGTAATAACAAGATTAAGTACTTGCCAAAGAATCAATGGCGTTTATAGAACCAGTAAGTTCTGAAATGGCATGACCTGGCTGATCATGATGTGATAGGACACTTCTCAGGTACCTGGTAGAAGAATCATTATCATGTCAATAAGAGTGTTACCGGATTATCATGTCAATAAGAGTGTTACCGGATTATTGTGGATCTGTCCAAATGAGAAAGGGACTGAGACCTCTCAAAATCGAATATGCCATGCGCTGCATTAGCTCTATGCAGAGCTGCCAATGCCAACTGAAATAAGTAAAAAGAAACTTAAATAAGAAAATTATCTAAGAAGATGTGCATGTGAGTATTATTATCTGTATTCTGTAGCACATTTTAAAAGAGCAAATCATCACATAGAATGCAAAAGCCAGAGTTTTAATTGACTGGTATCCAACAAGGTCATCAGATGATGAATTTCTCATATGTCAAGTATGGTACCATTCAGTGATCATCAGAAAAAGTTTCTCCTTATGCATTTCAATTTTTTCCAAAATGCAGTCTTGTCCTGTGTCAAAACAGCTATCATCTAATATTGACTAATCACATAATTTGTCCTGTGCTAAATATGATTCCTATGGGCACAACCTCGCCAAAATATAGAAGAACTCCTCCGGAATCTATCTACAACCACCTTATGGGCACATTATCCAATTATGAGTGGAGGCTTTCCTTGGTTATAAAAACCCACAGACAACATTTGGAACTCCCAAACTCGCATATCGACAGTAAAGGTAATGAAAAGCATTAAAATGATCAGAGAAGAATTATCAGCAGTATGAACCAGAGTTGCAAACAGAGAAGGACCCAGATAATAAATTACGGGTTCATCCGAACAAGTAATTTTGGCTCAAACCTTGCAGTGTGTTTAAATATTCACTAAATAAGTACAAATAATAAACTTTGAACCCAATGAAGTAAATGGATTATTATAAATTCGAACTCGAACACACAATGCGCAAATCATGAATTGCCTCTGGTTGCAAAATACTGTGCGTTTGGATTGAGAGAAAAGAATACAGAGGATAATTCCTAACTCTAAAAAAAACTACAGTATATTAGTAAAAGAATCACTAGGACAATACCAATCCTGAACCAACTATGGCATCTCATTTACTATTGGTTAGCTCATCCATAACTAGGTTAAGTAAGTACATACTCAAGATAGATTCCCGGTAGAAATCCGCATGGAGAAGTCCATTGTTCCTTCCCCTTCCCCACCATACTTACACTTGTGATCGCTCCTCTGCACATATCGTATATGGCATTATATTTGATGTGAATTCCTTTCTTCTCAAAACTTAACCATTTATTGCACTTTATCAGATGTTTTATTTTAGATTAATTGACCATCATTCTTCCTCTCCCAAAAAATTCCGATCAATCATCAGACAAAAAGTATAGCCTCGGTTAGTTGTCAGAGATCGTCATAGTTTGTTGTCAGGGCTAGTTAGAAGGAGCTTATGGGAAATTATAGCCAGAATTGCTTTTTATTAAGCTTCAAACGGACTAGATTTGATCCAGTCTAATCATACTAGGAAAATTAACTGTCAATAACAGAGGATCCATTCTCCATGTCCACACTTCACATGAAAACAAAAAATATGAGAAGGGAACAAACTAATATCAAAAGTTTATGACTGAGTGGAACATGAAACTTTTCTTTCAACAAAGATGAAGCAAGCCTCAAAAATGTATGTATTTGTTAATATAATCCTCTGCAGGTGGGAAGAGCCAGAAATCACATTCATACAGTATAAAATCATTTCAATAGAGGATGTAAATTATAAAATATAACCTGCCCAGGTGGGAATAGAAGTGGTCCATCACTACGCATAATCTTATCTGCTTCAATCCTAGCAGTATCAAGTGCACCCTGTACTTCAGAAGAAAATAATCTTAGATGGTAGACAATTCCAGAGGTCAGAGTAATATGAATTGAATTATTTCCCATCTATGAGTTAAGAACTCAATCAGGAATAACCAAATTAATTCATTATCTACAGTAGATGAATCACGGTTAGTAATGCATTGATGCATGTCAGAATGTTACCAACTACTTATGAGGGAAGTCGATTCCATCTTCTTGTCACAAGTTACATACACAAAAATGTTTTGAAGAAATTAATTGAAGTATAAAGAAAGATTAGTTGGTTGGTAGCTCAATCAGCTAGATAGGGATCTATGGTGTGAAACTCTAAGAAGAAATTGAATTATAATAATCACCATGTCTCCAACATGCCACTTTGATGATGTTCAAAAGAAGATTGATGATAATCTAGCAAGAAGATGCATTAACCTTGATTATCTAAGGAAGAATTAGAAACAATAAAAATGGGAAGAGTGAAATCAGCATTTGTTCCATTGGAGGGAGAACTGCAGATTTTCAATATCGCATGTAGATTACATGGTTTGGGTGGGTTTAACCGCAAAACTACTAGTTATTGGACAATATTGTATGAAATTCAATTGCTAGAAGCCAGAATTTACAAGGAGCAGAAATAGTGGAATAACATTTTATTTGATAAAAAGGAAACTGTATGGCCAAGGAAATAACAATTTGTTTTTATATGTTAACCTACATCGGCCCCACCACTAACCCCCTCCCAGGAGTCAATTGTGGCCCTTTTCCTCCATTTAGATCCCTTCGTAACTTGAATTCTCAAGCTCAAGGTTGAGGGACTTTTCATTTGAACTACCTTCTCTTGTCGGAAGGAAATAACAATTACCTTCAGTGCCACAAGCTGGTCATCATCTTGAGCTCCACAGAACTCCTAAAGTTTCAAGAGCAATAGTCAATAATTGCAATGAAGAAATCAAGGAGTGGAAATAACTACCAATCAAAAGGAAGATATCAAAAGGCAACAAAGCAATTATTACTCAATGGGGAAGGTGTAACAGATCAACAGAAAAAGACCTCTAAATCACTGATAAAACCTTCAAGTGCACGATATGGAGCATAAGCAATCAGATCAAATCCTAGACTCTGCAAAAGAAAGGTTATAAAAAAGTTGATTAAAGCAAGATTAAAGGGAAATGTAGAATAAAATAACCTTTAATTAAAATCCATGCCTGAAAAACTAGCATCTCATTATTGAGGATTACATGATGATCCTGTCCAATCCCCTTACCAAGCTCCTCAGCTGATACATGATTTTCCTCTGCCTTGCAAGCTGCATATATACACGTTAACCTACAAAAAGGAAGAAGGGGAAGCTAGTGAGCTTTGTCTTTGTCAACTATCAACTACTGCATGCATCATTATATGTGGATTCCAGATGACTTTGTTTAGGGGGAGACTAGTTAGATTTTCTTATATTGGGAAGTTGGAGAAAGCATAGAGAAGATAGATAACAAGCTTACATAATGTCTTTGGGGTGATGTTCCATCACGGACCATAGCAGATAAAACCTCTTAAAATAAATGAGAGCTGTTGCCTGCAAACAACCATGGAACTGCTTAATCTTCTAGTTGATTCATTGTAGTAGCAGATCCAATAATCAAAACTTTATACCTGAATCTTACGCGGGAACTTAAAGGCATCACAGACGTCTTGAATTTTGAATTCATAGAAAGCCCTTAGAAGTTGTTCTTCTTCAACTTTGAGTGGTTTAGGACGCTTTTCAGCTAACAAGCCAACCAAAATAGCAACCAAAAGAATGATAAGAATTATGATTATCTACCAAGATTAAAGGGAGGTAAACCAGAAACTTTATAGTTTCTCTAGTTTTACTTTGATCTGAATAAATACAATCTTACCATTATCTTTTGCGTCATTTTGACTTTCAGCATACGAGAAAGTCCCATCAATATCAACTTCCATTCGAGTTGTTCCAAACTTCACAATAGAATTAGCTATCAGTATTATACTATTATTCATAAACCCACAAGCACTTTAAATCAGACCTATGTTCTGGGCAGTAAAAGTTTCAGGTAATGTTTCCATACACCATACACATAAAATGGAAAAGAAATTCTACACAATCTAACTCTATGGGGTAAAAGTTGCACTTAAGACTTGGGACAATCAAGAAACGACATGTGGCAAAAAGAATAGGTCAAAAGTGACTCAGCAGCGACAACACCAAATGACAGTAAGGGAAATCCTATCAATGAAAAATCCGGAGTCAAGACAGTCGGGGCCGGAGTCATAACGGTGAAGACAGCCTAGCTCCGGAAATATGGGACCAGCCACCAAGTTGTGACCAAACAAGCTAAGGTCGAGATAAGTTCAGGGGTCCAGCCGTAGTGGAAAGAGCCTGAGATCTCTGTCAGCCATTGCGGAAAGAGCCAGAGATCTCTGCCATCCGTCACGTAACTGAAATAAATGTGCAACTGATGGACTTAATGTGGGCTAGATCCATGGAAGTTGGTCTCAAGGGCTTAGCTGTAAATAATCTTATATCAACTCATTGTAAACCATCTAATTTTTACTCATTCACAAGCATTATAATCTTACTTTATGTTCTTAAGCTCTGAAACTCTATGATTCTATTATTCTGATTAATATCAATAAGATCAAGCTTACGCGGTGACACTGCCAGCTACCAGCACCGGAACTCAGGTTCATTCTATTCACTTAACTTATCTCTTCATGTCTATACCATATTTTTCATTTATGTATTGATTAAGCAAGCTACAATACACAAACCACATGTTTTGGACATCTCAATACGCGTGTGTTTGAACCATGTCTTAAGTATTAACACTAACTACAGCAACAAAAGGTCAAAGAACACATTCACATTGCTTTCATCAAAACAAAACATAATTAGGTGAAAAGGGTAGCTCAAACAAAACGAAAACATATTCACAAGCACACAGAAAATGAAAAAAGATAAAATAAAAAAGGAAATGGAACTAGCATACCATCTCTAGTGCTTGTTTCGCCCTTTGATTAGCAACTTTATACTTATGTTTCTGTGAATACAGTAAAACATTCATAAATCCAAAAACTCAAATACAAATGGGAAAACGAAAAAAAAAAAAAAAACTGACATTCTCCAAGATTAAGTTTTAATGAACAATTGTAACTCACAATATCTTGGGGAGTATAAATCCACTTGGTTTTATGAGTTGATGTCATGAAATCCGCCATATCTTCTCTCTGCCGATTCTAATTCTCTTTCCAATAAACTCGCATTTCATTTCTGAAAGACCTTCAAAACTAAAGTATAAAATGGTAGCGGTGTCAAAATAATTCTAATTCTAAAATTAAGTAACCAATTAATTTAACCTAATCGAATGGATTGCTACTTTTTTTGTTTTTTAAAAAAGGGGTAGGTTTTGATTAGGGGTGTGCACTATTTGGATTAAATCGAAAAATCAAATCAAATCAAATTTAATTTGGATTGGTTTTTTGGATTTTTGGTTTGGTTTTGGATTTATAATTTACTTTGTTTGGTTTTTTATTTGGTTTAGGATTTAGAAAAATGAAAATCGAAAAAAATGAATTATATTATATATATATATATATATTATATGTTTAGAATTAAGTTGGAGTTAACCACTTTTGTCCCTTTTTAGTTATTTTCATTATGATTTAGTTTATTTTTTTATTGTTTGGACATCTATAATTGATATACTTTTAAGTATTGTGTTTTACGTTTTACTTGTGATTTATATTAAAAAGTATATTTAAGAAATTCAATATATTCTATATATAATAAGCTACAATGAAACTATCATTGTAACTATCTTTTTAGCTTTCAACCAAAAGCTAACAAGATGTTTAGTTACATATTTATTATTTAGTTTGTATGAGCTATTTATTACTCATTCCTTTTGAATTTGTTAATCTGATTTTGATCTGACACATAGTTTACGAAAGTAAATTAGATTTTGAGAAAAACATTAAGTGATATTTGAAATTGTCCCAGATTTTGAAAAAGACACATTAACTTTGCGTGCGTCCTATTACCCCACAAAACATTCAAAATCACAATAAATACACATTTTTTACACAATATTTCCACTTTGGACAAAAATATCCTTCGAATGTGCAATTTCTTAAAAACAAAAAGTCGGATCCATTATTGATGTATTGAAGGATGCTTTTGGTAATTTCCTATGATCGAATTCGTTTTGTTTGTTTCTTTTAAATTTATTTTACTATACTAAATAATTGTATAAAATATTATGAATCACGATAATTAATTACTTAAATATTTAAAATATACAAAAGATATGATTGACTCTTCAAATTTTACCGATGACACATAAATTGGGACAAATGAAATAATATATATTATTTGAAAATTTCTTAGAAAGTACTATAAATTACAGTAATTAACAGCTAACAAATATTTACAAAGAACAAAAAAAATTGATTGAATCTCTAATTTTTTTTTAGTACTACATAAATTGAGAAAGAATAAATGACCTCTATTATTTTAAAATGGCGTAAAAGTATTACAAAACATACAATAAGAATTAACAATTTAAAATTTTAAAAGACTTTAATGCTTTATACTTATTCTATTTCCACTTTGGACAAAAATATCCTCCCAATATGCATATTTTTTAAAACAAAAAGTGGGACCCATTATTGATGTATTCAAGGATGCTTTGGTAATTTTCCTATGATGAATTCGTTTTGTTTGTTGTTTAATTTTTTTAAAATAATTGTATAAAATATTATAAATCACAATAATTATTTACTTAAATATTCAAAAGATATAAAAATATGTAAAAGATCTGATTAACTCTTCAAATTTTATCGGTGACACATAAATTGGACAAATGAAATAATATATATTATTTGAAAATTACTTAGAAAGTACAATAATTTACAGTAATTAACAATAGAATATTTTAAAGACAAAAAAAATTGATTGAATCTCGAAATTTTATTAGTACCACATAAATTGAGAAAGAAGAAATAACCTTTATTATTTCAAAATTGCGTAAAAGATATTACAAATCATACAACAATAATTAGCTATTTAGAATGTTAAAAGACATAAAAAAATTTTTACCATAGTTAACAATAATTAAAAATTTAAACTATTTTAAATTAATATTAAAGTTTGATTAACTCTTTAATTTTGTCTTTGTCACATAAATTGAAACAAAAAATGATACATATTGGGCCCGTGCTAGCATGGGCTCCGATGTCTAGTATATATATATATATATATATATAATTTTTTTAAAATTGCAAATATAACTTTGTTATGTTTCTAATTATTGACATAACCGATTAACCAAACCAAAAAAACTCAAACCAAATTTATTTTGGTTCAGATTGGGTTACACTTCTTCAAAACCAAAAACTGGAAAATCCAAACTGAATAGTATAAAATCAAACCAAAAAACCGAATGCACACCCCTAGTTCTGATGTATAATTAAAATTTTGTATCACAATTAGGGTAATTTTTTGTATTATGAACCAAATCATAAATTTATGTTGAGTTTAAACATAAAAAACAGTTTTTAAATTGATGTTACACCTTATCATAGTCCAATTTAGGATCGTTTAACAAAGATTGTAGAAAATAGGATTAAGTTTCCTTGACTTGTGTCTACTCAAGATTATTTTATTTCAAAAATCTATAACACAACTAATCAATGTCATCAAAGTAAGCACGTTTGAATTAGCTTTTGACTTATACGTCAAAACAAGTGATTATAAGTATTTTCTTTAATTTATCAAATAATTTAAAATATTAAAAGTTATTTAGGATTAAAATAAGTCAATTCAAATACGCTCAATCCCAATATCTATCAACTAAACATTTGCCACACAATTATCGCATATCTGTTTCCAAATATAAAAAAGAAGAAGCGTAATATTAGTCAAAACTGTATAACCACATAAATATATTTATGACACATGAAAATGACAGGTGGAGCAACTCTAAGAGCTTTAAAATAAAGGGATACCTTCGGGGACATCCGATAAAATTGGAACGATACAAAGAAGATTAGCATAGCCCTTGCGCAAGGATGACACGTACGAATCGAGAAATGGTCCAAATTTTTTAACCAACATGGGTTGTGGTGCAATGGTGGGAGTGCTTCACCCTTAACCAGAAGTCTCGGGTTCGAGCCCTGGGTATTGAGAAAATCATGTTGGGAGCGCCACCCCTGAATGGGCCCTGTAGTGTGCGATCTGAATTTAGTCGGAGCTCCAATGTGGGCTTCGAACACCGAGTGGGAAACAAAAAAAAAGGACACCAACAAATAAATAAACTACATATTCATGCGAAACAATGTAGAGCTCACAAAAAATCGTAAATAATTTATTTAGACATTTCGGTCAAAATGAAATGTCTAAATAATTATTTTGTGCTTTCTAATAAATTTGATAGGAAAGAGTTGGGAGTTGTCAATTGGATTTTATGAATTAATATCCTCAATACTGTTCAAGGTCTACAATTGTCTCATTCTCATTATATTTGGATGATACTTGAGAAATTTAAGTATTTAGATTTAAAAATTGCAAAAATATCTACTAGTGTAAATTTTGATCTCGTAAAGAATAAATGTGAAAGTAAGTCTCAATTAGTGTAAAGTTTGCTCTAGCAAAAACATAAATATATGAAACTAAGTCTCACTGATATGATGTTAAAAAGTTGGGAAAAGGGTTTGATATACCCCTCAACTTTATCAATTAGAGATGATATACCCCTCATTATGAAAGTGGTTCATATATGCCCCTATTACTATACAAATGGCTCACATATACCCTTTTTCTCTAACAGAAGTGAAAAAATTAATTTTAATTTAATATTTTAATTATTATATTTTAAAAAAATATAATCCCATATGGGTATATTTAATCCTCCTCACACATAATTTTTTTTGACCTTTTTTTTTTTTTGACTTTTTTTGTTTCAACGACTAATTTAAAGTTATTATTTTGATGGTCAAATTTATTTATATTTCACTAATTTTCTTGTAAACTTTATTATAGATGACCCAATTTTTTTTCAATACAAAAACTAGATAACAATATAGTCAAAAAAATAGTTTTAATTTATAATTTAGCCACAAAAAAATTAGTTTTAAAATTTTCTCTTTACACTAACGAACGAAAGAAGAAAAAAAAATTAAAATAAGAATAAGAAACTCAAAAATTGATAATCAAAGACGTCAAAAAATAATTTATGTATAAAAAAGATTAAAATATACCTTGAAATTCGCTAGAAGGATCATATATATCCCTACATGATTTAAAAAAAAATTAAAAGTCAAAAACATAAATTTAAAACAATTTTTTTCACTTCCGTTAAATTAAGGGTATATGTGAGCCTTTTGTATAACGGTAAGGATATATGGGAGCCACTATCATAACGAGGGGCATATCAGCTCCAAATGACAAAGTTGAGCGGTATATCAAACCCTTTTCCCTAAAAAGTTTAATGTACAACAATTAGATTTCTTTATAATTTACATTAATAGTAGAATATTTACCTTCCTTTTTTATCTAGAAATATCGTAAAATATTTCTTTTTCTTTCTAAATTTACGATCTATAGTAATTCCAAAATATCTCGTTCCCCTTTAGTTTAGTATTTTTTTTCTTTAATTTTTTATAAATAGTGATATAACTTTTAATGTTAATGCAAGGATTAATATAGTGATTCAATTCAACAGCCAACAGGCAACAAGTATTGCCATTCTCTCTTTTAAATATTTAATTATCTTCTTATTTTTTTAATTTCATAATAAGTATTGTTCTTTAAACGTTTTTTCTTCAAAGTTCTTTAAAAAAAGTCAAAATTATAATCAAAATAAAAGATCATTTCAATTTCCGAACAACCAAGCACATACCACTAAATTAATACTCAATAGATTAATAATGTTTTTAAGATAATGTTTTTTTGTCCCGACTTGGACAAAATATCACTCATTTCAATAAGATAATATATTTTCAGAAGACACCTATATAAATATATGACCCCATTAATATTATAAGTTAATCATTTTTTAAAAGTACAAATATATCTAAGACAATTTAGTGAAATGTGATTCTATTGTTTTTTGTTAGAATTTAAATCTCGTTGAAGCTCATCTCTAACTTTTTTTATTACATCCAATAGCTCCAGCGTTGCCACGACTACAAAAAAATTTGACTGCATGTGGAATGATCTCTTTTGTATTCACACAATTTTTTACGTATTTGATATGTCATTGTTGATTTTTTGGCACCTTTTAAATGTGAAGCCATTTTTGGATATGGTTTCAATAAATTTCCTATG